ACGTTCCCAGCCAAAAAACCTCCTAAAAAAAAAGTCAAGTCGGAAGTACTCCTCCAATCATATGTAAACTCACATTCAGGTCTGGCTCCTTTCTGGCATGAAACCACTGGCCACTTTAAACAATCCACTCAATTCCCGATGGATACAAACCAAGTCCTGCCCTACATTTGTTTTTCTCATTGACTATTTTGTTTTAATCTGAAATACATCACATTATGGAAGTACAACGATTTGTGAATGCCATTTCATTCTGACTTTAGAAAGAAAAGCCCTGAAATTCACACATGGCACAATCCAGTCATTTATCTGCGCTGACTTGATTTGTTGTTACCCTCTCTGTCTCTTTCGCCCTCTATCTCTCACTCTCACTTTCAATCTCACATCATCCCTCCTTCCACCAGCCACCCACTTGCAAACAGCGGGGAATAATTATGTCTTAAGTGGATTATGCGGCCTGCAGATGGCAGATAAACGGAGAGGAGAAGAATCAGGACAGTCTATCCGGGTAGAATTGAGGATGAGCAACGGAAATCTGATGGGTGGAATGGGATTCCAAGAAGCAGCAGCGACACGTCGCGCTGAGGGCCATGATAAAATGTGTCATGGTGCCCAGCAAATCAACTGGGAGTCATTGTTGCTGTGGGATTTAGATTAATTTTTGTGGAAAATTGCTTGAAAACTAGAATAGGAAAGTTTGGGATGACATCTTGTCATGACGCCGAATGAGATGAATTGTGCCGTCTCGGAGGAAGCTTTCGGTTAAGTTAAGGTTTTCATCAGTGCCTATCACCTACTGTTTGGTATTTTCAAAACCAATAATGGTTGATATCAGCATCTCACAAAGTACATGTCCTATTATGATTAAAGTAGGTCCTATTATACATCAAATTTAAAATAAAATACATAATATATGAATGACGTACATACTGTATATTATATATATGTAATATCACAATAACTTCACAATGCAAAAAAGGGTCCTAAAAACATATGCATATTTTTTTCCAACAAAATATATATGTGTGTGTGTGTGTGTGTGTGTGTGTGTGTGTATGCATGTATTTCTAAACGTATCATATATTGCAGACTGTATTACAAAACTACAATATTACATTTTGAAATGACTAACCATGCAGGCACCCATTTTCCATACACAGTATATCTCACCACAATGTGACTGAATCAATTTATACATTATTTATACAATTTATACAGAAATTATACACATTTTCTGCAAACAAAATAAAACCTATTTTATATTCAGATTTGTTTGCAATGCAGTAAGCTTATTCACCTAATTCTAATATAAAATGATATTTTTTTAAACTTTATTTTTGCTTTTGATATATTTCAAAGACAAAATATTTATACATTATGGTAGTGTTTGTTGTACTTTCTTTTTAACCTATGCTAATTTATAATAAAGAAAGAATGTGTCCAGACAGGACACATAAGTGGATTATGCGGCCTGCAGATGGCAGATAAACGGAGAGGAGAAGAATCAGGACAGTCTATCCGGGTAGAATTGAGGATGAGCAACGGAAATCTGATGGGTGGAATGGGATTCCAAGAAGCAGCAGCGACACGTCGCGCTGAGGGCCATGATAAAATGTGTCATGGTGCCCAGCAAATCAACTGGGAGTCATTGTTGCTGTGGGATTTAGATTAATTTTTGTGGAAAATTGCTTGAAAACTAGAATAGGAAAGTTTGGGATGACATCTTGTCATGACGCCGAATGAGATGAATTGTGCCGTCTCGGAGGAAGCTTTCGGTTAAGTTAAGGTTTTCATCAGTGCCTATCACCTACTGTTTGGTATTTTCAAAACCAATAATGGTTGATATCAGCATCTCACAAAGTACATGTCCTATTATGATTAAAGTAGGTCCTATTATACATCAAATTTAAAATAAAATACATAATATATGAATGACGTACATACTGTATATTATATATATGTAATATCACAATAACTTCACAATGCAAAAAAGGGTCCTAAAAACATATGCATATTTTTTTCCAACAAAATATATTTGTCCAGAAAATATTTTTCATTATTATTATTTTGATGTAATATACAACAGATGAAATAAACACACACACTCACACACACAGAGAGAGAGAGAGAGAGAGAGAGAGAGAATGCCCCTGAGATGCAGGGATCTGCTAGTTTATAAAATATTAAACCTGCAAGGCTGAATGTTGGCAGGCTGAATGGTACGTAGAAATTTCTGAACATGCGGGGATATGTACATATACAAGAGCGAACAGACGAGCTCACACATGTTAAAAATAGCAGCACCGATTGATTTAAAATTTAATAAACAACTCTTCAGAACAGACAGAGAACATCAGAGCCCAAGGTTGCAAAACATGGATTGTTTTCAGCCACGTCATTGCAGATATTATTCAGCTGATAGACTAAATACACAAAGCAGCATACACTAAAACCAACAGAGTGATCATATGCAACAGTTTTGAAGACTAACTGTGCTGCTGTACAATCAAAAGTCACTTTTTAGTGCTACATTGATGACATTCAATGGCGTAGCAACCATTATATATATATATATATAAATATTTATTACTTATAAAGCCCTGAGTGGTTTAGCACCTCAGTATTTGAGTGAGCGCTTATTGCATTATAGACCTTCATGTCCGCTGCAATCTCAAAATAATGGCCATCTGATAATACCAAGAATATCAAAATCAACTGCGGGCGGCAGATTCTTTTCCTATTCTACAGCCCTGAAAGTCAGCAGAGACCAGGACAACTAGATGAGCCCCAGAGACAGATCCCCAGTGAAGACCTAGTCTCCTAGACGGCCACCGGGACAAGACCACAGGAACCAGATGAGTCCTCTGCACAATGTGACTTTGCTGCAGCCTGGAATTGAACTGTTGGTTTCGTCTAGCCAGAGGAGAACTGGCCCTCCGACTGAGCCTGGTTTCTTCCAAGGTTTTGGAGTTTTAATTCCTTGCCGCAGTCGCCTCTGGCTTGCTTAGTTGGGGACACTTAATTTCCAGTGATATCGTCGACTTGATTGCACAGATACTATTTAAACTGAACTGAGCTGGACGATGACATCACTGAATTCAATGATGAACTGCCTTTAACTGAAAATTGAGTTTACTATTGTCCTTTTGCATTGACACACTATTTTCCTATTTTGATACTGTAAAGCTGTTTTGACACAATTTGTATTGTTAAAAGCGCTATGTAAAATATAAAATAGAGGTGACTTGACTTGACTTGACAGGATGAATTTCTTTGCTGTGTAACAGTAATTGGAATCTAATGAGAATCATCAGTGAGAATAATGAGAATTACAATTGTGGGGTTGCCCTTAATTGTCATAAAAATAAATGTCACAACCAAAAATAAAATAATATAATATAATATAATATAATATAATATAATATAATATAATATAATATAATAAAATAATTCACTTGTTATTATATATGATCTAAATAATATAAATTAAATGATACATTCAAATAAAAAAAAAACATAGGTAGAGAATATAATCTCCATTTTCTACATGCTTTTTTATTTTGGGGTGAAAATGAGGTGGACATGTTCTTGACATGCTTGTGAATTTCACTCACTTATATACAAAAAGATCATATGGTCACTTGTAGAAATGTTACTTCCTGTCTTTTAAATTTAATACCTGAAATAAACGTCAATGGATCTCTTCCTTTTTTACTATATAGAAGAAGAGAAAAGGACCAAGAAGAAGCAATTTCAGTGTGTTACATCAGATTTGCTGCACTGAGGGGTCAAGGCCATGCTGGCCGTTTGCAAAAAAATGGGATGATAATTGGTGTTTCACCTTATGTTTGCATATTGTGTCCATCAGCCCTCATGTACCACCTTTGCAGAATCATCGCTGACATAATGATTCAGACCTTCGCACCCTTTGCATGCGCTTATTCCACACAATGCAGCAACATCACCTATGGAGCTAACCAACAATCACTTCTTAACTAATTAAAATTATTTTTCAATCCAGCTCCAGAAATGTTAATTTCACAGATTATATTTTAGTGCACTGTGAACTTAAATCATCACCTATACTAGATTCTACATTAAAAACTGCATCCCCAATAAGATTCCACATGGATGATTAAGTCTGTTTCAATATTTGTTTGCATTTTAATGTATCCATTGCAGTTTATTTAATTAGCAAATAGTTCAGATAGGCATGTTTAAACAGGCAGGAAATGTTTTAGGAAATGAATGTCGGACTGCTTTTCTGCAAACGGACATCTCTGCCAATCGTGACGATCCACTGTGACAAGAGTTTTTCGGTTTTTCATTTCTCTTAGCAACACAAAGACAAGCCAGCTGAACTCCATCAGCATGATTTGAAACATTTCTGTTTCGCCTTGTAATCTATTAATAATTCATGCGAAGGAGGGGGAACCCCCAATAAATCCGTCTCCCCCACAGAGCTTGAGTCATACCTTTTCTCCCCCAACATGACTTCTATACTATAATATACAGCAGCGGCAGTAAACGCTTAGCATGCTCATAAATAATTTCCGAAGCCCCATCTCTGATGTCACCTTAGGGAACAGCGATCTGATGAAAGCACATGCATGGCTTGAATATTCTCCAGCCAATGGAAAGGTGCCGTTCAGTTTGGGAATGGCCATTATGTGGCTTTCTACATCTCTACAGGTCTTCTCCGATAAATCTATTTCCTCAGGAAAGAGGGAAACGATACATGCACATCGTGAAAAGCAAATGTAACTACTCGAGAACACTCGGATGTGATCCACAACACGTTACCAACCAAAACAACTGAGCTTCCAGAACAGACAGGAGCTTTCGAACCAGCTAACCCCCCGTTTTCTGGTGGAGAATGCGGGCATCATTGCGAAGGTGAATTCCTGCTGCAGTCCTGCTTTAAAGTGCTTTAACAGGCATCAGGGATAGAAGAAAGAGAGGGGTAGAGGAACAGAAAAAGACAGAAAGGTGAAGTCGCTTACCTTATGGTCTGCATCTCCTCGTCCGAAGCCTGGAAGAAGGAAGAAGAGGAGATTACTGAAACGAATGTGCGCCTGGTTCCCGAAGCTGCCAAGGCATCACTGCGCAGTCTCAGGCACACACAGCCGCTCTCTCCCTCTCTCTCTCCTTCTGTCTCTCCCTTTTCTCTTGCTCTCTCTCTACCCAACAGTGCCAGTATACTTCTGCACTGATCTCATGTGCGAGGAGGGGAGAAATCTTGACAGATTTAAGTGCGAATGGAAAGCACGGTTGCAGCCAGAATGCAGATACACAACATCATACACGCCGCCCCCTCTCCTTCCTCCTCCCCGAGAGAAACTCACTCATCGGCTTCACGAAGATCCACAGGATGTGAGGACAGACAGCAGACCAGAGAGAGGGAGCGGGTGAGAAAAAGAGTGTGAGAGGGAGAGATGGAGAGAGAGAGGTTTAGGAGGGAAACAGGTGGGTTCATCTGTTGATGAAAGAATCTGAGGGAGGGATGGGGAGGCACTCCGGTTCTCACATCCACTGCGTGCTACAGCTTTCTCTATCACTCGGTCTGTCTCTCTGCTGCCCCATGAATAATGCAAGAGTGAGATTATGTCAGAGAAATTCATATTCAGATTTAGTGTGCAGCAGTGACCAAGGGCTGTTCCAGCAGTCCTATTAATTCAACACCATGCAGGCAGTACGTGATCCAATGTGGTATAACACGCTAGTTTCATAGTTTACAGGCCAATCTTAAACAAACAAAAAAATTTGTAAAGCCGATTTGTTATGTTTGTACATTACACTAATTTTGTAAAGTACTTAATAATATATTTTTTATGCTGTATATGCAGTCAATATATCCTTTATGCAGTCCACATGGATGTATAACCAATGCTGTTATATTTATAATTACACCTTTGTTATAATTTTGTAGAGGGTATTATTAGATTTGTCATCTAGAAATTTAAATGTGAATTATGAAGGGAGACTGCAAAAATGTTCCCAGTATTCCCATTCAATTCAACAGCAGTTGCACCCCGAAATAATGAGGACTGGATGCTGCAATATTTGCTGCTTGGACACTAATGCTGCGTTCGATTTACCTCGGAAATCTACCGGTAAAAGAAAAATGTTACTGGTAAAAAAATTTTTTTAAAAACTGCTCTAATATAACAAAAAAAAAATGTGCGCCTGCTTTTAAAAGGCTGTCAGTGAATAAAAATTCTTCAAGCACTTTTGGCCCTGTGGACTTAAAAAATGCATAAAAGACTTTTACAATGTTCATACAAATTTCATACACGTACTGGTTTAATTACTTTTCTTGCTTTTGTAATATTTGTAATTTTTCTAAAAGTCATGAACATTTCCACCACATCATACATGAATGATGTATTGTGTTTGATAGATTTATGCGACAGAAATTGCAATGGTGGAAATTATATTTTAATCATTTTTGGAATCAAATGGATTTAATTTGTCTTGGCATTGTAAGTTAAAATATTACAAGTGATATTCACATACATTTTTCTTTTCCTCACACATCTCATATTTCTCATATCTTGTGCATTTCATTGACACTGTTGTTAAAAAGAGTAAAAAAATAAAAAATAAAATACTTACTACACTCTTAAAAATAAAGATTCTTTATTGGCATCTATGGTTCCAGGAAGAACCTTTAACATCCCTGGAACCTTTTCATTGGAAAAAAAGATTAATTGGGGATAAAAAAAAAAGAAAAAAGGTTCCTCTGTAGCATCACTGTGAAAATCCCTTTTTGGACCCTTTATTTTTAAGAGTTTAGGGGCAAAAATGTTGGTTGAGGTGGAAATGATATCACAACTGTACCTTTGTAGTTCTGAGGAACTATACATTTATATGAAAATTTGGTACTACAGTAGTTCATGCAACAAGGGTTCACTTATTATCTGCAGTGTCCATTAAAGGGGTCATATGATGCGACTACAAGTTTTCCTTTCTCTTTGGAGTGTTACAAGCTGTTCGTGCATAGATAAGATCCCTAAAGTTGCAAAGACTAAAGTCTCAAACTCAAAGAGATATTCTTTATAAAAGTTAAGACTCGTCCACGCCCTCCTGAAACGCCTCGTTTAAACAC